TTAAAAAAAAAAAAAATGCCTTCAAAGTTGTGAACTGTATCTTTAAAATTAAACTTTCAAGAAGTCATCCCATCCATCCATCCATTATATTATCCAAACCTCTTTGTCCTTATTAGGGTCGTGGTGAGCTGGAGCCTCACCCAGTGTCTTGAGCCACAGGCGGGGAAACACCCTGGATGAATGGCCAGTCCATCACTCACACATAAGAAGTCATTTTTATTGAATTTCTCTTCCTTTGATTGTCAGGGGTTGCCAGGCGAAGGAGCTTGAAGGAGTACGAAGGAGGCAGATATCAAATAAACAGTCTTTTAATAAATCCACTTGGGAAAATCCAGGAGAAAACAACCTCTTTACATGACGGAGACAGGACAAACAAACTGAGGAAAGGCAGGGCTATTTATACAAAACCAAACAATGGACTAATAAGATGATTAATTCAACACAGGTGGAAACTAATGAATGATGATTAACTAAATGAGAACAGGCACTGAACCAAATAAGGGCAGACAGGAACTAAACAGAAACAAACACGTGACAGATATCGCCCCCCTCCCGGAAGGGTAACATCGGGTAGTGGGGGCGGGCGCCCTGGAGGCTGGTGCAGGACAGGAACAGGGCGGAGACAAGGAGAGCCTCCAGGGTGGATCAGGGAGCTCTGGGGACTACGGCGGATCAGGCAGTTCAGGTTGCCATGGCGGATCAGGGGACTTATGAGGCCACGGCGGATCAGGGGACTTATGAGGCCACGGCGGATCAGGGGACTTATGAGGCCACGGCGGATCAGGGGACTCAGGGGACCACGGTGGATCAGGGAGCCCAGGGGACCACGGCGGATCAGGGAGCTCAGGGGACCACGGCGGATCAGGCAGTTCAGGTTGCCACGGCGGATCAGGGGACTCAGGAGGCCACGGCGGGGGCCTCAGGAGGCCATGGCGGATCAGGAGACTCAGGAGGCCATGGCGGATACTCCGTTGCCTTAGCTGGCCACGGGTATATGCCCCCCCCCCCCAATTTTCTTGGGGAAAACTAGGAATCCTGGGGGGTGCTCTGGAGGAGCAGGCACTTGAGGGCGCTCTGGAGGGCGCTTTCGAGGAGCGGACACTTGGGGGCGCTCTGGAGAAGCGGAGTTCTCTGACACCGGAGACGAAGGAGGGCTGGATGGGACCAGCGGAGACGAAGGAGAGCTTGTAAAACGTTATGTAATTAACCATTCACTTGTCATGTAATGTAGTATAGCTGAAGTCTTTCAGTGGATGCACAGAATGCACTTTTTTCATTAAATACTCACTTTCTCATTAGTTTGGTAAAAATATTATTCCAGCAATTTAATATAGATGCAACAGTTTATCAAGACCGTATAAAGTTTCTTGCCTTTTTTTCAGGATATGACAGTCCAATCCCTACTGAGCCTCCAAAGGTCAGGGTCAATGTGAAACGTGAGTTATTTGCTTTCCTAAAATTGGATGTCATATTGATATTCATGGCTGTTTTTGTTTCGTTTAGTAGTTCACATGTGCATGACTCTTCTTTTACTCTGTTGACTTCTGAATGTTGTGATGCAAAGATTTAGAGCGTTGTCAAGAATATTTCACATAACTTTGAAGAGTTTGACAGGATGATGCGGTGACAACCGGAGCATGTTTGCTCACTTCCACTGTATTTCTCTTTGTTGCACTGAAACAGGTGCATGGCACATCAAACTCTATGCTATTGTTACTATTTGAACACCATTACTATGTGGTTTGTTATAAATGAATGTTGTGTGTTCAAAAGGCAGCATTGTGCTGTATTGCTTTATTTGGGTTCAAGTATGTTTGTGCAATTTTTTTGTTTCTTTGGAATTATAGACACCAAAGATTAGTTTATAGACCAGTAATATGAACTGAGAAAGTAAAGTGTACATGTTCTTGTATTCTCAGTTGTGTCACAAGCAGATCAGCGCTCTGGCTCGTGCTCCGGGACCCTCAGCACCTCCTCAGTTATAGCCGTGGAGGATATTAACCGTCTCTCCTCTCAGATCTGTCTGTCTCTGGGATGTGGCGATGTGTATAAATTAAGGGCATATGATGCAGAATTCAACAGTAGCTGTCTCACAGGCTGCCTTTACCGTGACTCTGAGCTAAGCAACTGCAGTCAGAATGTGAGAAGCCACTGCAAGATGCTCTCTGAGGTTATTTGCAGTAAGAACCGGTGGGATGTGAAATAGCTAGAACATGTAATGTCTGGAATGCACTGCATGAAACTACAAAAACTGTTACAAACTATACAAAAAAAATAAATAAAAAAATTATGCAAGAAATAATGACATTAAGCTGAGTGTACGATAAACTTGCCTCTGTTTGAGATGTGGTCTGACTTCGAACTTGGCTCAACCAATCAGAATCAAGCACCGGAACTATCTGTTTTATAAAAATAAATAATATCATGATAAATGAGATGATGCATATTAGCTGATATTCCAAAGGAAACAACATCTTTAATGTTTCAAAATTGATTGTACATTAATGAGGAAAAAAAATTAACTTAAATGATTTTAGCAAATGGCTGCAATATAACAAAGAGTGAAAAATTTAAGGGGGTCTGAATACTTTCCGTACCCACTGTATATATATATTTAAAAAAATGTCCCATTTGTATCTTTTTTAACTCTTGAGTTTGAATTTCTGATTATCTTCTTTCACCCGCAGGTTCTCCCTATGTGGCTCAAATATCTAGCCCATGTTCCTGGACGATCAAGTCCCCAGACCCGAAATCTTCTGTGCCTCTGCCTGAAGACACTGTCCACAGTGTGTCCCGTGAGGTATGCCGTGAGCTTGGCTGTGGACAGGTCTACAGTCTCAATCAGAGCAGTGTGGGATTGAACACGACCTGTTTCACAAACTGTGTTTATCACAATTATCAGTTGAAGAACTGTCGTGAGGTTATTAACTCCAGTTGCTCAGTCCTTTCTGAAGTTAAATGTGGTAAGTCGGTACATTTTCCATGATCATGTCATAATTATGAAATCAGACTATATTTATTTAAAGAAATGTTCTGGGTTCAGTACAAGTTATGTTCTGTTGACAGCATCTGTGACATGATGTCAGATCATTTCCGTGTGTGCTTCAAGTTGTGAAAAACAAACTGAAATATGCCATATTTTTACAGTAAATGACTGACAATGGAAGTCTACAGGACCCCATAGAGCAAAAATGGAAATATAATGCATTTTGAAATATATTTTTAATTATTTTTAAATATATTTCAAATATACAATAAACTTTTTTTCCCCTAAAATATGCTTCACATTATATTTGCATGAATATATTTTATACCAATATATTCATGGACCATTTTAGTATATTTTTGAAAATATGTTTAAAAAATATAAATATATTTTTAAAACACATATTTTGTGCTATATATTTCAATCCAAGAAAATACATCTCAATGGAAAGCTTATTTATTCAGCTTTCAGACGATGTATACATCTCAATTTCGAAAAATTGACCCTTATGACTGGTTTTGTGGTCCAGGGTCACATATGAACATATAATACATTTAAATAAAATTCAGCAAAAAACATACTTTACAATGTTAAAAAAAACTATATATAATTTGCATTTGGCCTAAATGTAGTTTACTGTAAGATTAGAAAAAAGATTGGGGATTTTTTTTTGCCCCTGAAATACATTTTGAAATATATTTTTGGTATATGAGGGTTGTTTTCTATTTCAAAAATATATTTCATTGAGCTTCACTGTTTACAACATATTTTTGGCATATGTTTAAAATATATTTTGGTCAGGAAAAAAAACCCAAAAAACAATATATATATATATATTTATTTAATTAATTTATTATTTTTTTGCCATATGGACACATCACTGCACTTGGATACACTGTTAAAACACACACTATTTTGAAATCATAATATAACTTACACATTATACATGTGAAACTAATGTGATAAAATGTCTGAGCAAAATGACATGTAATTTTTCTGCTCCACAATGTGAAGCCGAAAATCCCTTTAAAGGGATAGTTCACCCAAAAATGAAAAACATCATTTACTCACCCTCGAGTTAATCCAGACCTGCCAGTATTGTTCTGCTGACCACAAAAAAGAAGATATTTTTAAGAATGTATGTAACCAAACAGTTTCTGATTGGATTTTCATTTTGGGGTAAACTATCCCTTTAACTTCACATGACGCTCAAGGGCTGTTAACATAAACTCCACTTACAGAAATTACACTGACACATAACCAGTTCCTAAAAAGTAGTCCCAGCTTGAAAATAAATAATTAGACAATGCACACTTCAGATAGCAAACATTTTTGTATGGAACAATTATTATGTTCACTTTAAAGGGGTGGTTGACTGCTTTTTTTCTTGGCTTGATTGTGTTTATGGGGTGCAGTGTAACATGTCTTTATGCTTTATTTTTTTAAAAACGTGTTTTTCAAATATTTTACCTTTATTGTAAGCCGCTGTCTCCATTGTCATTTGAACAGCCGGTTGACTTCCTGTTTCTGTGATACCACTTCCTCAGAAATAGGCAATGGGCTCAAATTGGTTAGCTGGCCCAGTTTGTTGTGATTTGTTAACCGTGTACTGCACGTTGTCCGGGAACTTCTCTAAAGCAGCGCAACATGGCCCCGCCCCCTTTTTTTTGCATGTTCCCGGGGGCGGGGTTTATGTAAATTTCTGGGTTTGTGACATAACGAACCCGGGAAATAGCTCGTTGTAGTCCCTACCAGCCGTTTTTGTAGGCATTAAACTGCCAGCATTTTAAAAGACGATATCTCTGTTTGCATTGAACTTTCAGCGTTGCAACTTTGCAGACATTGTTTATGCTCAAACAGCAACATTACACACTAACTAACATTTAAAAAGTGAAATCGCAATCAACCACCCCTTTAACAGTTTTATCATTTTACTTTGCACATTTTGGCTTAATACATAATGGTAAAATATAGGATAATAAATGTCAAATGTGTTTTAAATGTCCTAATTCTCATAGCAACACTTGTTCTTATGTACTCCAATTCAGCCAAGCACAACAATCCTGCTTTCTTGAGCCTCCAATCCCATCCCTTAACCAATAAACAAAGTGGTGTAAACACCGACTCTATATGTTGAACTTTGTACCTGTGCAAACAAGGTCTCAGTTCAGTGTCTGCCATCTGGTCACAGCAGAGGGTGCAGCAGTTATCTCTGATGCTAACTTGCTTGAGCAAAGCCAGGCGCCTGTGTCTGAAATAATGAAAATAGTGGCATGAATGGTATGAGTCACCTGCTTTAGGTGATAACTAATGTATTATTCACATTCACAACAGTCATTGATACTTGGCCCTGTGTACAGAAATCTAATAAACGGTGCAAACCTGGGCAAAATGATTTTCTCATCTGATGCGAGTGAGGCAAACTCATTAAATGTGTTGAATTTGATGGAGGGGGGATGGCGGAAGGGCTTGGCTCCGAAGTTGAACTCACACTGTTGGTAGGACATGAAACTGGCTGCGGCAAAGAAGCCAGACCTAAGACAAGGTAAAGCAAGTTTTAAGGCAAGGTAAAGCTCCATAAACATTTTTTTTTTGTGGTGGAGGAAGTGAGCTTTGCTTACGTGGCGGAGGAGAACACCTGCTTCTCAGGAGGCAGCTGGTGTCCGTTTAGATAGAAAATCATCTGCTTCTTACTGAGGTCCAGCAGGAACCCTATGGCATCACCTAGAAAGCCCAGAGAACACTTAGTACAAAACTTTGCTAAAGTTTTATTTCCAAAATGATGAAATACACTTTTAAAGGGGTGGTTGACTGCTTTTTCTTGGCTTGATTGTGTTTATGGGGTGCAGTGTAACATGTCTTTATGCTTTATTTTTTTAAAAACGTGTTTTTCAAATATTTTACCTTTATTGTAAGCCGCTGTCTCCATTGTCATTTGAACAGCCGGTTGACTTCCTGTTTCTGTGATACCACTCCCTCAGAAATATGCAATGGGCTCAGATTGGTTAGCTGGCCCAGTTTGTTGTGATTTGTTAACCGTGTACTGCACGTTGTCCGGGAACTTCTCTAAAGCAGCGCAACATGGCCCCGCCCCCTTTTTTTTGCATGTTCCCGGGGGCGGGGTTTATGTAAATTTCTGGGTTTGTGACATAACGAACCCGGGAAATAGCTCGTTGTAGTCCCTACCAGCCGTTTTTGTAGGCATTAAACTGCCAGCATTTTAAAAGACGATATCTCTGTTTGCATTGAACTTTCAGCGTTGCAACTTTGCAGACATTGTTTATGCTCAAACAGCAACATTACACACTAACTAACATTTAAAAAGTGAAATCGCAATCAACCACCCCTTTAACAACAATACAAGCTGCACATTTCTACTTTTAAACCCTTTTAATAAACTTTCTTCATAAACATTCTAGTAAGTGCATTACCGTAAACATGGCTTTGGTTTATATTTAAAGGTTTCTATATGTCTGCATTATGTAAATATTGTCTTTCTTGTCTAAATGATTAAATGTTCTTCAGGCAATGCTGGCGTTCGGTTGGTGGGAGGCGGTCATCACTGCGGGGGCCGTGTGGAGGTGTGGAGGGGCTCCTAGTGCACAGTGTGTGATGATGGATGGGATTTGGACGATGCGCATGTGGTGTGTGCACAGCTGGGCTGTGGGTACGCTGTGTCTCTCAGCGGGCAGGGGGAGCCGTATGGCCAGGGCACAGGCCTCGTACACATGGATGAGCTCAACTGCACTGGAAAAGAGAGGAGCTTATGGGAATGTCCGGCGATTACGGATGGACACGACTGTGGACATAAGGAGGACCAGGGTGCGAACTACGGGGGAGCTCGGGGGAGCTCGGCTCCCCTTAATCAGACATGGGCTCCCCTGAAAACGTGATTTGTGAAATTTTGGGGGGTCTCAAAACATATCGACAATGTGTTATTTTGACGTGCAATTTCAGTTTTGTGTAATGTGATCATCGTTGATTATTATGTGTAAAATTGCAAAAAATATCATTCATTCATGCATGAAGGCGATTTA